CAAGAATAGAGGCGAACGTGCCGTACATTTTTCCGCTTTGTAACATTTTCGTCGTATATTTCCATAATTAGCGAATTTCCGCCGAGCAGGAATTTTCATGTCTTGTCATCGAGCTTCGCGGCTATCAAAGGTCAACGCTTTGCTATAAAAAGTTTCATTTCATAAAAACCGGCGTAATTGCCGCAAGAAACAATTGTTTTGCTGGCAAGAAGACTCAAAAAGTGAGAGGGTAATTAAAATTGAATGACAATGCAAACCACACTTTGCGACGGTAACCCAGATGAAACTCTCCATGGCAGTAATAATTGAACATTTGAGTGCACAAAATAAATCTTTCTGATGACATCGTCTCAAATAGCTCTGACGGCTCTGTTCAAACATGTCAGAGCTTTGAAAATACTTTTGAAGAAAAATGGCTTTGCTCGTTAAAATCTTGTTAAGATGAAACCCATATCGATGGGCAATGAAGGTTTTCCCTCCAGGGTTTGAGTTGTGGCCAAGGTTTTCAATTCGTTTTTAATGGGAGATGACAGCCTTAAGCAGTACAACAAAGTACAATTTCAGGCGGCTTTTTTTGTACAAGCTTTAAGTTTTTTCAATCATTTATTTCACCGGTATTATCGAGGAAGATGTATCTCTGCGGCTGCTGTTTGCCTATTCTATCAGTTTACCGCAAGTTGGCTAATGTACAAGAACAAAAGAATCGACAACAGCTCCCAACAAAGCCCTGAAAAGAAGCCGTAAATGTACCGACATTAAACTGCTTGTGACTGTTTGTATAGGCTCTCTTTGCAAAAAAATAATCTTTCCGATCGGAATATTTGTCCGCTGGAAGATTAATCATGCAATAAAGCCATTTGTTGCGTGCTAAGTCCGAGAACAAAACAGCGGAAAGTGGAGGTTGCGTAAAGATAAATGGATCTGAATTTTCGATGTTATCTGTTAAAATTAATGTCTACAATGTACGCTTTCTGAGCGTCCAGTTTCATCTATAGGTAAACTCGAGTCAACGTTTTGCATGCCGCGAAAACGCTTTGCCGGCAACTTGACAAAAAGCAAATTTAGCGTGCGAAATTAAAAACTTTTCGTTTCGCATTTTAATTGTCGCTGCCTCACCTTTTTCCTCCCCCACAAAAGTAAACATTTTGGGAAATAGCGTTTACAGAGTCATAATGCGCCAGTTTCATGAAAATAAAATTATAATTGCAATTTTAATGCTACAAGTCTACAGATTGCCATACGCCGGGTCTTTGACAATGGGCTTTGAAAATTTTAATCTTAGCGTTGTAAATTATCGAGTTCAGCAAGTTACATAATTCAAAATACTGATAAAAAAATACATTGCGGTATTTTTAGAAACATCACTGCTCCTCCTGATGAATAATTGATACTAAAATTCCAAAAAAACTTCCTTACTACACGTGCATGCATACAATTATTTCAAAGTCATTGCATTTTCAATGAACCGTTTCATATCAACATCTGGGGCTAAATCTATCGGCAACATCCCGTTGTCCATTTCGGTAAACAAATCTGCGCCATATTCGATCAATATCGACGCGGTCACTGCATTCCCCTCGCGTACAGCCTCGTGTAGCGGACTACTTCCGTTCAAAGACTGTCTGTTGACTTCTGCGCCATGTTCGAGCAGTAACTTCACACCTTCGGTATCGCCTTTCGCCGCAGCTTCGTGAAGAAGCGAAACGCCATACCTATTCAATTCGTTTACGTCCTCAACTTCTTTGATTGCGTTCGCGACCGTGGCTCTCGGAGCTCTAGGCATGTAAGCACGCTCGCTTGCAAACAACGCCGGGGACGAATATCGTCGCGGTTGAAATTGTTCATCCGTTTCATGCTCGCGGTTTGGACGATTTCCGGACACCGTGTAGTCCACAGAAGACGCACGTAACCGATCTGGAAATAAATTGTCCGCTCTTGAATTATTGTTTTTCTTGGCTGTTGTTATTGTTCCCTCCCTCTCAAAACTGAACATATTAGCGCTAGAGTTCGTGGATGCCGAACTGTAGGCCGAGTCAGATGAAGATTCGTCAGAGGAGTTGGAACACAGTGATGATGTCGATTGCCTTTTCAAGGCATCTTCTCGGCGCTTTCCGCATTTCGGACACACTGTTTCCCCACAACCAACTTCCCATCCGAGCCGGCTTTTCGCGTGTATATTTCGAGAGGGTAATGCTACACCATTGAGACGTGGAATGTCCATTGAGCTCTCCAGATCTTCATCTCTTGTTTCGACAGTTGCGGTTGGGGTTGTGGGGTAGTTTACTGCGTCTACGGAACTGCGCCTGTTTTGCGTTTCAGACCACGAAATATTTGAAGATAAAACTTCGCTCGCTGCTCTCTGTCGCTCTTGCGCCAAGCTTATCACCTCATTTTCTCGTAGCTTTTCCACAATAAGTTCTCTTACTTCAGGCCTTCGGTTAAAGTATTCTTCCACGTCTTTAGCCATTCCTCGTCGCCGCATGGCTTTAGCGAGTATTATCACCGATTGCAGGTCTCCCGCCAGATCTAAAGGAAGTTCGCCTTGATCGTTCTGTAAGGCTACTGCGGCCCCCATGGTAATAAGGTAGCGCATGATGGAGTGATTGCGAGCTATGGTTGCGGCATGCATCACGCTCCAACCTTCTTTATCCTGAATATTTAGATCGGCGCCAGATGTTACTAGCAGTTGCACAAGCTTGAGAGGTCCGGTGAAACAGGACCTTTGTAGAGCTGTAATACCATCTTCGTCAATGTCATCGACGTAGAAATGTTCTTCGTTCTGTTCGAGCAAAAGCTGTGCTCGAAAGATGTCCCTGCTCGTCACGGCTTCGTGGAACAATTCAACGGGCTTTCGCTTGACTGCAAATTTCAACATCGTCGACAGATCACCGTGCTACGAAAGAAAACGCGGAGTCGAAGCTATTCTTCACCAGGTGTAAAACACACGTCTGTGTCGCGTCAGAGCTTGTTGGGTATGAGAACGCATCAGGTCATGTTACAAAAGAAATTAGCGCCTTTGGCGAACCAACAATGCAACGGGAAACGAGCAGACAAGATTGGCAAAGAAAACAGTTATATCAACCTGTCCACTTGTATTGTTCCAATTGATTGCTCTCAATGACAGTCCATTGACAGAAGCATTATCGAGCTTTATTGCCCTGTCTCATGTTGAGATATAATGAAATAACCTTTTGAGTGGTCGTGGTTTGAAGGTCATTCCAATTGCTTTGTTTTATGAGTGTAGCTTCAATTTGTTTTTCATTACCTTTTGAAATAAGTTTTAAGAGTGTCTCGGCTTTGTGGCGTTCTCGTCATCACTAAGAGAAAATTGGCGAGATTTCATTTGTTTCGCATTGTTTACCAACCCATCACACTAGTTCTTTGTTCTTGGGAAGCCTCTCATCAAGCCTTTTAATTAATGCTTCTAATCTCGAGAACCGATTATGACATGTAGCGCGTCTGAGTAAACGCTAAATAGAAAGCTTTTATATCTTGGTGTCACTTGCTCGCTTTTGAGAAAAGAGGAAAAAATCCCTGCCTTGACAACTCGCTTTAGTCTGAGTGCCCAAATGAGCAAATACAGCAAGAACTTTATAGAAATTTCAAGGCTGATTTTCCAGTTGGTTGCCTCTTAAAGTGATCTTGGTGTTTATGTAGGATTTGTTTAATTTAAGCATACATTTTTTAGGATGACTTGAACAAAAACGAAGTCGTTCCAATGTTTATGTACGTGACACCGACCTACAATGGATTAAAAGCGATTCAAGCTGCTTTTACAATATGTGTTGTACGTGAGTGCAAATATACACTGAAGTATTTGCAATATCAGTCAATTATTTTTGTAGGACACCGTATATTTTGTGGTTTAACCACAACGTTGTGGTTTATCACTTGCCTCCGGCCTAGAAACGGAAGCGGTAATGTAGAATAAAAGTTGTTCTCAGCGAACCCTTTTTTGGCCCTGATGGCAACGTAAATATAGCACCTTGTTTGGTCTCTATGTATGCCTCGATACCATATATAGCATACTGTTGGGAAGGGTTTTCCGATGGCAGTTACATCCTTTTTTATAAGAATAAATGCAATGAGAATATCGAGGCTGAAATTTGCGAAACTTTAAGACTTTTAAATAAACCCGAGGCTGAGGTTTTTGAAAAGAATATAATTTTGTGTGTTGAAAATTACTTGAGTGCCATCAAAGTCATTAAAACGGAAAGGTCACGCGCTATGATGTTATATTTTCAGTCAAAAACCGCTAGAAAAATAAGAATATTCAGCCCGGACCGGAAAGAAAACAACAATATTTTTAAAAAAGAGAGTGTAGTAGCCATATCCTCATATTCTCGCTCCTGACGTTATGTGTTGGGGAAAATTAGAAACAGATCCTGGGGGCGACTGAATGAACTTAAATAAACTAATTCTTCCAAGCGGGGGCAGCTCTAGTGTATACCAATACTAGTGTATACCAATTTATGTGTTTATGGGAATCAAGAAACCAATCACTGTTACTATGTCCACCTAAACACCAGCGTGAACTGAAATATCTCGAGTTTTGCCATGAGCTCAGCGCGCACCCCTGCTGTAACGAACAAAGCGCTTTAGAAAACCGACGTGTGTCTGTTTTGCTCTGCTGACCACCAATGTGCACTGACCCGTGGAAGTTGGTAACATATCACGTTCACATGTTTTATAAACAGATAAAACATCTTGTAGCATCCATATCGCGCCTTTATCGACAAATGTAAACAAAGGTTGCATTCATGGCTGTGGAAAACCCTTTCACTGCTCCCCGGAAATGTTTTCAACAACACACAGGAAATACGACGAGTGGTTTATTTAAAGTGTCTTTCACAGTCATTATGCATTCGCTCACGAGAGGGCACTGCATTCCATTCCAGTAAATTATCAAAATTGCCTTGAACTGTCTGCTGCCGAGATGTCTGACTTTTGTTGAGGCACGTGATTGCTATGAAGTTATGTAACAGTTCTAGTTGGTTTCAAGTTACAATACAATAGATTTTATTAATTCTCCCAAATGGGTTTTTCAGAATTAATTTACCTCGAGTAATATGGAAATGGGATGAATTTAAGGAAGAAAATAGGGAAGAAAATAGTATATCAGTTCCATGGAATGTTTTCATTCAAACTTAAGCACTTGGTACATTTGTATTTGTTTAAAAACAACCCTAGATAAGTTTTGTTGAGTTCGAAATAGTACTCTTGTTAAAGAGTAAAATTATGCATATACGCACGAGAGGAGATTGTGATCTATTCGAGAAAACTATATGCATCAAAATTGCTTTCAACTGTCAGCCTATGTCTGACTTTTGCAGTTGAGCTACTTTTAAGTATAGAGGCACGTGAGTGCTATGAAGTTACATAAGGCTTTCTTGTTCGTTCAGTGAAAGAGATACAACTGGTCTCAAGATAGGAAAGCTAGAAGATAGCTCAGTCCCATGGAATGTTCTTGCTGTAAACTTAAAGACTTAGACATGTACATTTTTTAAAAACAATCCTAGAGAATTTTTGTTGAGTTTGGAATAGTACTCGACAGATTGAATTTATGCCGTCATACTCGCCCGAGCGGAGATTGAATCACGCATTTTATTTGAGAAAGTTATATATATATCAAAATTGCCTTTAGCTGTCTGCCCATATCTGACTTTTGCAGGTGAGCGACTTGAAAGTATTGAGACTTAAGAGGCACGCGAGGGCCATAAAATTACGTAAGGCTTCCTTGTTCGTTCAAGGAGGGAGATACAACTGGTTTCAAGATAGGAAAGAAAATAGTTCAGTTCCATGGAAGTTCTTGTTGTAAACTTAAATCACTTGGTACATTTACATTTCTTCACGGTATCCTGGAGAATTTTTGCTGAGTTCGGAATAGTACTCGAAAGATTAAAAATTAGGCATACACGCACGAGAGGAGATTTCATTTTAATCGAGAAAGCTATTTAAATCAAATTTGCTTTGAACCGGTCAGCCCATGTCAGACTTGCAGGCGAGCGACTTTTAAGTATGGAGGCACGAGTGCCATGAAGTTACATAAGGCTCTCTAGTTCGTTCAGTCAAAGAGATACAACTGGTTTCAAGATAGTAAAGGAAATAGGAGATCGGTTCCATGCAATGTTCTTGTTGTAAACTTAAAGTCTTAGTACATTTACATTTCTTTAAAACAATCCTAGAGAAGTTTTGTTGAGTTTGGAATAGTGCTTGACAGGTTGAATTTATGCCAGCATACTCGCCCGAGGGGAGATTGAATTATGCATTTTATTTGAGAAAGTTATATATATCAAACTGAATTGCCTTAAGCTGTCTGCCCATGTCTGATTTTTGCAGGTGAACGACTTGTAAGTGTAGAGACCTATAGAGGCACGTGAGGACCATAAAATTACATAAGGCTTTCTTGTTCGTTCAGTGAAGGAGATACAACTGGATTCAAGATAGGCAAGAAAATAGTTCAGTTCCATGGAAGTTGTTAACTTAAATCACTTAGTACATTTACATTTCTTTAAAAAAGACCGGTATCCTGGATAATTTTTGTTGAGTTCGGAATAGTACTCGAAAGCGGATTAAAAATTATGCATACACGCACGAGAGGAGATTTCATTTTAATCGAGAAAGCGATATAAATCAAATTTGCTTTGAACTGTCAGCCCATGTCAGACTTGCTGGCGAGCGACTTTTAACCCTTTGAATACCAAACTTTCGCCAAAAAATACCGTTTTTAACCGTTTAGTCAGGTTTTTTAGCTGCCATGA